TAGTCAACATTTCAAGTGTCCAGTAGCCTTTCACAAGGATTAGCACAGTTCTAAACTTTTCCAAGGGGCCGAGAAAGGAAATACATATTTTTGAGAAATAACTCATGAGCTCATATTGATATTTCAAACGCAAATATAATGAAATTTTTTTCCTCTGTGCCAGGCATGGCAGCTCAAGCCTATAATCCTAGCAATCTGGAAGGCCGAGACAGGTAGATTGCCTGGTTTCAGGAATTGGAGACCAGCCTGAACAAGAGTGAGACTTTGTCTCTACTGAAAATAGAAAAACTAGCCAGATGTTCTGGCAGATACCTGTAGTCCCAGCTACTCGGGAGGCTGAGGGAGGAGGATCCCTTGAGCCCAAGAGTTTGAGGTTGCTGTGAGCAATGATGTCATAGCATGCTACCCAGGGTGATAAAGTGAGACTCTGTCTCAAAAAAAAAAAAAAACAGATTTTTTTTCCATCTGATCTTATGCTTGTATTTCTTCTTACATTGAAAATCTTGATTTTTTAAAATAATATTAACATAATTACTTATTTATTTTCTTTATCCTAAAATATATTTAAGATAGTTTCAAATAGTAATATAATATTCCAGCTAACAGTGATATTCTGAATGAGGTTTACAGTTTCTTTGTAGCTCTATTTTTTTATAGAATGTATTTCACTAAAGTAGTATTCACAAACATACCATGCTGTAAAGTCATTTAAAATAATTCTTTCTCTGTGTCTATCACTGGCTTGATTTAGTTAGCTTAATTAATCTTGGTCCAAGGTGGCAACCCAGAAGTATTTGGACTAGTGCAGCAATAAGGCTACCACTGATGAGAAAGGGAACAATAAGAGCCCTAAGGCCATGCAGGGTTAGTCTCAGAAGCTCAGGTGTGGCATTTTAAAGTGGGAGCGAAGGTGCCTGCCTATAGTTCAGAGTGGGAAAGCACTTTTAAAGCTAGAAAGTGCTGCGCGGAAGGGGCTCCTCCCTCGGAGTTCTGGAGGCAGGCTTGCTTCCTTCCCAGAGCCTTGTGTGGAAGCTATTAGTGTGTCTAAATCTGGACCAACAGGCCACCTTCATGTTTTGTTTAGCTCCAGAACAAAGGACTAAAAAAATACTGCTTTGACTACAACCCTCCCGATGAAAACCAAGTTGCAGGACGCCAGGTCATTTTGTACCTCTGTCACGGGCTGGGACAGAACCAGGTAGGTGTGGGCCTCTAGAGAGGGAAATGAGGAGAAAGCTGTGTTTTAAAAAAAAAAAAATCAAATATTTGATTTCTTATCATAAAAATCACACACACTCCTTATGGAACATTTGGGAAATATAAAAAGCAAAAGCCACTTGGCTTCTGGAGCTACACTTGTACTCTTGTCCACGAGGTCTCAGAGAGTTCTCAGGTGCTAGCATCGGGGCGGTCCACTTCTGTTCCTGCTGTCCCACACCAGCACGAGGCTCACCACAGCCAGCACGAGGTGACAGGCACCAACCCTGTTCTCGCTATCTAGTAAGCAAGTCGGGCATCAGAAAGAGTCCCTTCATGCACGTGTGCAAAGCCCTGCACTTGTGGTCCCTGGAGCAGGCATCTCCTAGACAGGCTCCTGTCAGTGGAGAGGGGAGTGTGGGATCCCAGGCTCTTGTCTAGTGCGCCCCCCAGCCAACATGCATCACACAGGGTAAGTGATACGTGTTGGCTGTTTTGCTTTTAGTTTTTCGAATACACGTCCCAGTACGAGATACGCTATAACACTCACCACCCAGAGGCCTGTGTGGCTGTGGAAGAAGATTCGGATATCCTTGTCATGCATCTTTGCAAAGAAGTTGCCCCGGAGAATCAGAAGTTCATCCTGCAGGAGGTAAGCCAGCCCCTCTCTCCCTCCCTGTGGTAGTCCTCAGGCTGTACAGTGAAGAGGGAGAGCCCAGCCTCTCTGACTTAGTCCCAGAGAGGCCCAGGGAAGTGCCACAGTGTCATAGACTGAGGCAGTGGTGGGGGCTGCAGGAAGAGTGGAGTACATGGTGTGCAGGTCAGAACCGTTCCCTTCCTTCAGGGGCGTCCAACCTTTATTTTTTTCTCTTGCACATTGGAAGAATAAGAGTTGTCTTGGGCCACATATCTTACACCACAGATAAGCAAAAAAAAATGACCTCACACAATCAGCATGTGGCCTACAGGCCACAGGTTGGACACCCTTGGGTCCCTTTCAGTCTTCTTTGATACCCTTCAGGGGGCTGTAATGGGATCCTTCAGGGAGCTCTTGAAAATGCATTTGGAGGTGAAATGGGCTTTAAACGAGTGACAAAAATAGCCGGAGTGTACTGATGCAAGGTTAGAGCCAGGTATAAGCTAGTTCACCTCTCTAAGCCTCGTTTTTTCCCAGCTTTCAAATGGACACCATAATAGCAGTCTTGCCTAATTCTAGGGGGGATTAGATGTACCACCAGAAATATTCTTTGGAAACTGTAAAGCTTGACTTGTGGCATTATAAGCAAGAACACACCTCTGTCTTAGAGCTGGCTCTCCAAATAGTCTCTGTTGATCTGGAACCAGGTGTGACTTTAGGTCTGGAAGGTACCAGGCCTCACCATCTTTACAATCAGCCAGTAACAGGGCTTGCAAATCGATCATATCCTTCTGCTCCCTAAAAAGCTCTAGAGGAAATAAATCCAAAGGAAATAATTCAAAAGAAAAAAATTAGTTCTCTTTAATCTTCCTGAGAAGCTTCCATTCCCATCCTGGCCTCTGGTACGGAAAGTCTTCTATACTGCTTATAAATGTGTTAATTCTAAATCTGTTGAAAGTTGGGATCTATTTTTCTATAGAAAAAAATGTTATAATTAGCAATGAAATTTGTAGGTGACCTGGAAAAACCAAGCACCATAATGCTATCCGTTTGATATAAGAAAATAAGAAGGAAAAACGCTTTTTTTTAAAGGGAGTCTTACTTTGTTGCCCTTGGTAAAGTGCTGTGGTGTCACAGCTCAACCTCTAGCTCTTGGGCTTAGGCGATTCTTTTGCCTCAGTCTTCCAAGTAGCTGGGACAACAGGCGCCTGCCACAACGCCCGGCTATTTTTTGGTTATAGTTGTTGTTATTTGGCAGGCCCAGGCGGATTTGAACCCGCCAGCTCCTGTGTATGTGGCTGGCACTTTAGCCCCTTGAACTGCAGGTGCCGAGCCAGAAAAACACTTTTGCACCCCCTAAAAGTCTGTGACTCTCTTGAATACCCTCTTTGGCTCATCTTTCTCCCAGCTGTAAGTCACTGTAAGCCCTCAGGGAACAGTAATGCAAGCTAGAAATAATAAAATTGGTCTGAACATATCATTAAGTTTTTTTCCTTGCATTTCAGTGATCATTTAAGGAAAAGTGAGTGTGTATAGAAGAGTGGGGAGAAGGATGCTTAGTTTGATTATTTACTTTTAAGTTACCCTACAGGCAACTTAACAGCACTTTGAAGGGTTTTCAAGGTTGACAGTGTTGGGATTTGATTGAATCTAATTTTATTTCTAAGGCTTCTCTTTCCTTGGGACAGATACGTTGTTCACTGTTGACGGTTGGCTGCTCAGCGTGATTGAGTTTGAACAGTTTAGAACAGAAAGAGGTGGGAAAAAAAGAACAGAGAGAGGTGGAGGGAAAAGATAAAGAGCGGGCCTGGAGGAAAGACTTGGCATAACTCAGCAAGGGTCAGGAAGAAGGGAAGGGGGAGGTTGGGGCCTTGGGTACTGGAGCAATGAGCAGGATGCATTGCCTCTCACCCTGACATTTCACAGGCCGGATAGCCAGGTGACTGTCCCCTTCACCCAGCTCACCTGGGGCTGAGCTGGGACTACAGCCAAGTCTCTACACTCTCCATTTAAACACGTAAGAGCTCACCAGGAATGGAATCCGTTTGATCTAAGAGGAGTCAAAGGGTTAAACAAAGAATCTTTTTTTCTTGATCTCCCTCAGAGCAGCCAGCAGGTGGCACCACTGGTCCCGTGAGAGGCACCAGTGATGCCATCTGTACATGCCTGGTGCTCCCCATACG